AGAGAGAGAGAGAGAGAGAGAGAGAGAGAACACACGTCAATCAAGCGATCGTTTAATTAAATGAACGCGACGAGCGGGAAAAAAGACAAGGGAAATAGTATTGCATAGGAATACGAGACCATCTTCTTTCCCAAGTGGTCCTATTGGATTTCGATTAACCGACAAAGAAGACTCGTTTTCTTCCATACATCGAGTGTCCATCTCGCCGGTAACAATGTTCCACGATGACCCTCGGCAACGACCGAGGAGATATATCCAAGAAAGAAGAAAAAGTTCGAATCGTGGGCGGTGGATTGGACATCCAGAAATCGATCTCCCTTCCCTACGCGCGATTATAAATTAAAAAGCGCGCCACCTCGATCAAGAAAACAAGGAGATGACGAGCGAAGATAATAGCAAAAAATGGTATTAATCGAGGGGATTGAGATGGTCGAGCCCACGCACGGAGTCGAAAAGCGATCGATTAATGAATGAGAGACTCGCACGCTCTTGCGTGTATAAATTTCTAGATCCAAACGATGAAATAAGTTAAAAAAAAAAAAATGCAAATTCTCGAGGAAAATTTCATCTAGTTGGATGGATCAAGCGGATCTCCTCGTACGGTACATCTTCTCGTAAAATACGAATGTGAAATTGTATTCTCGGAAGTCTGGTTATACGAATAAAACGTGCAATAGATGGCCTGTTGAGATTCTACTTTCGACGGACGGAGTTGAATCGCTTGAATACGTTGGAATGTCGGTGTAACCGCGCTCATCCCGTGACGCGTATAATAATGGCACAATGATACAATTTCATAGGCGAGCGGCTCCGTAAAGTGGGGCCGGACAATGACGAGTTAAATTCCGTTGGACCGAACTTTAAGATGGAGTTCAAGCGCGGTTGTCAAACTTTGGACAACGGTGGACACACGATTTCCTCTTTCTGCTCTTCAAACTTTCGCCAGCTGTCGAAAATTGTTTAAGCGGCTTTAACGCGAAAGAGGTTGCTCGAGAGGTTTCGTTGTAATTGCTTTATGCAGTTCGAACGAATTTTTCTCTTTTCGTTTTACGACGAGAGATAAAAATCGTGGACATTAAATGGACATTTCGTAACAGGATTGTCGAGATCACGGTGTAAATTATATTACGAATATAAAAAAATATGTATATCTTCTTTTATCGAAAAGAATTTAGATTAAATTCGTTCGAAAAGATATAATTCCATTTTGAGTAATAAACTCTATTTTAGCCGCATGACTTACGAGTAAAAGAATTAGAATTTAAGGGAATTGACTTGCCTGGTTCGTTTCGAAAAGGAATATTCTACTATTTTATGAATTTTTCCCTTCCATCTTGATTTTCCTATCTATTTTTATATATATTTCACGACAATTACACTTCTTTTAAATAATTTCCTTCGATTAATTCTGATTGAAAAAAAAAAAACAAGACGTTAATTAAATAAATATGAATGTTGTTTTTTTTAGGTGGTAAAAATGATGATCGTGGTGGTACTAATATTTGCGATATGCTGGTTACCTTTTCACGTATACTTCATCATAACGTCGTATTTTCCGGAGGTTACGAATGAATCGTATATCCAAGAAGTTTTCTTGGGTATTTACTGGCTTGCGATGTCTAACAGCATGTATAATCCCATAATCTACTGTTGGATGAATTCCAGGTAAAATATTACTTTATAAAACATCGTGTAAGTAACTTTAAGTAAATATGAATTAATTAAAAAATTTCTTAGGTATTCCATGATCAGGATGATTTTCAATAAAATTTCACTTTGGTTGGTTGGAAAAAAATGATTGACAAATTTTCCTCGTTACACGTGTAAATTCGTTTTAATAATTACATTAATCAAAAGTGCAAAACATTTTAATTGTTATTCGATAATTCAACAATCAAAACTTAATCGATCTTAAGTTTTCAACTAGTAATAATTTTGGATAGAACTTTATTGATTTCGATATCGTCGCTGCGTCAAAACGTATCGTACTTTAAATTAGAACTGCCCTTTAAGGTTAATTTTCACTCGCTATTTATGTTTCGTCATGTGTAAACAATTTTCACACGTACGCGCGATATGTATATTTAAAATTGATTTATTATCATTCGATTTAAAAAAAAGAATAATTTCAAATTTTATCGAAAAATCCATAGTATATCCATCATAAAATATAAATTTTAATTGCGGTTTGGTTGATACCATATATACATATATCTATATATATCATATATCAAAAAACCGCACGAACCGTCGAAGACAAATCCAGACAACATTGTTTGTCCCACAAACTGAATGAAACGGGTGCCAGGTGATTGATTTGAAAATAGCCATTTACCAGAATCCCTTTACACGTCATACACAGGAATTGTTTCGGTGAAATTCTAGCGATGCACACCGGTATCATCGTTTCGTACCAAACAACTAAAATACTACTGTCCGTAACGAACAATTTCCTCACAATAGGCCAATGGTTCTCGTCCTACAACACTCGTTCGCCTATACTCAC